TAGTTCGCGCACCTAAGCGTGCACCAAATAAATAAATAAATAAATAAACTTCGCCTTCGTGTTGTTCTTGTTGTTGGGCGACTCCTTTTTGCTCGGGTTCGGCATCTTCTGTTGCGACATCTTCGTCGGGCTCTTCAACCTTCCATAACATTGCGTTAACCTCGATAATGTCATTCTCGTCGCGATTCCCTTAGTGGTTGCCGCTTCTCCGGCACTGTGAATGGCCGTGGTTTAGGCAGATACTTTCGCTCTATAATGCGTTCATTACAGTCATTCGATTCCGTAATGAGCTGCTCGAGGTGATCGAGCTTGCGGCGCATGTCCCTCTCAAATGTAAAAATATTTTGGTTTTGTGCGGTTTGGACTTCTAGGCGCACATTACTGAGGGTGGAATAAAGAGCGTCAAGCGTTGGTAAGTGATCCGAAATGACGTTTTCTATGATGGGTAAATCCATCACGAGTGTCACGTCTTCGCTTACTTTCTGTGGATGGCGCACAAGGTATTCCCAGAATTCTCGTGACATTTTTCTCAAGGCAATGAGTATAGTGAGAAGTGAATAAAGAGTGCGTAAATGTGATCTACAATAGAAAAACTTCATACGAAGGTGATCTACTTCTATGCTCAAAAGGTCAGTTTTTAGAACGTGTTCCTTAAAAATTTTAGGAGAGACTCATACCGACTGTCTTTTCTTTCCAGAGCAGTAACAGCTTGTGTGCAGGTATAATAATCGAGACAGGATGACAGAATCCTACTGTAGAGCTGTTGTGCTTCTGGGAGCTGTGGAATGGCATTTTTCAGTCGTTACAGTTCGCGTTGCGTGTGTTGGAGTTCGTTTTCTATGTTGGCAGCGGTTCCTTCGCTCTAAAAAACACACAAAAGAGATGGAGTTTCTTGGGGAAGATGCAACTAGTTGGTTACCTCTCTGGACAAGTTCGCTTAGATTTTTTTCTTGGCGCACCTAGAAGGTCGATCTCCTGAGGAGGCGCGTTAGCAGTTCTTGTTGCATTAACTCTGCTGTGAATGGAGTTTTTGTTCACCATGTAGTTGATACGCTCTTCTGTAGTTATAATTTTGTCTAACTCGGTGAGAATGTCACATAGAGCCCAAGGGTGCTCTTGAGTGGAATCATTAATACACCGCTCAAGAACTTTCCGCTGAAGATCCATTTTGAATTTTGAAAGCACTTTTTGACTCAAACAGGAGCCATTCAAAAATACTCCTTTGTCTCCTTATTATGCTACTATTGGCATCACAGTGTCAAGTGTCGCCGCTGTTCTTCGAGGCTCAAACTTTCAGTGCGGGCGCGATCAAGGCGCATCTGTAGGTTGTCGATGAGACGTGACTCATCACCATACTTTTTCCGTAAAAAGTCTATGGCTTTATCATAGTTTGCTTCAGTCACGTTGATTCGACGCACTGATTCTTTTGCTTCCCCTCGTAGTGCAGAAATCAAGTAGTTGAATTTCTGGAGATTCTTGAGAGACTGATTATGAACATTTACTTCGAAGAGCGTTCAGAAATTTTCAAATTCCCATATCTTGCCACTAAAGGTGGGAATAGGGATGGCAGGTAGTTTATGTATCACAGGTTCCACCAATGTTTGTGGCGCTCTAAACTGTGAGTTATTGAAACTCCTTCCTGGTCCCTCGAAAATTTCCATTGCGCTTATTCTCTTTGCTTC